TGGGAATATGAAGACAGGCATCCTGGAGATTCAAGCTGATTAACCAGTCTTCCATCGTGCGTGCGGTTCATAGTTTCCTTCATCTTCCCGAAGCAAGGGAGTTAACTGACTTTAATAGTTCATTTTCCACCCTTGCCGAACTAGGCTGTAATTCCTGGGCTCGATCGTAGCGCCACCAGTGGTTATTACGAGTCATGTCCCTTCTGAGCATCTCCTATGGACAAATCAGATTCCACCTCTCTTATCACTTGCATTTGTATCAAACAAAATGGCGCGCCCAGTCGAGACGATCTGATCGATAATCAAGTTCTATTGTGTGATAAAACGGGTCTTACATCGCGATGTGCATCAAATTGCGTAAGCACCTTGATTAAAAACATGAAAAGATTTGGAAAATATTTGTTGACGAGTTGGCGGTGTACATGCTTTGCAAATCCTGCAATCGACCGAAATCTACACGACAGTTTACTGACCGGATTTCGATTTCGTTGCGCGATTTTGATTGGACTATGCATACACTCGTTAGTCCAGCCAAAATGTAACTCCATAATACCAGCCTAGTTCGGCAAGGGTGGAAACTGGACTTTTATAGTCAGTTAACTCTCTTGCCTCCGGATGATGAGTTTCCTTAGATTCGATCTGGAATGTGGGTGGACGACCTAGAAATTCCTTGTAGAGAACTTTAACGTATATAATCATATGCATGTCTGTTGTACTTGTCTTTCCTACTCGAAGTACCAAGGAATAAAAGCCCTTGGTGAGGTTTGTGTTCTCAGTAATAACTCTCTTCTCCAGTTATGTCCGAAAGGCCAAGTCTGCAGCGTTCAAGATGGAAATGTAACTTGTATACGCTTCCCACAAGTTGGATGCGTGTCTTCTGAACAGTCTAAAGCTGATGCTGCCTCCTGCTCTATGCCTCTGCTCTTGTGCTAGAAAATACTCCAATTCCTTATTTCAGATGTTTACTCTAGCCCACAGAGGAAAGAAGTGAGAAGAGCATGGGGCAGCAGAAGTCTATTATACACATGACCGATTATGGATAACTGTCAGTTAAGAGGACTTATGTTAAAAATAAAAAAATGATTTTTATAGTATGATGACAGTGAAAATACAGGATTATCACAATGATGTAATAGAGGTAGGAGTTTCGCAGAAATAAATGGCCTTTTAGTGAAAATGGCAAAAATACCTTATGAATTACATTTAATGTGACCCTAACTTCATAATAAGTAGAGAACTTACAACCTGCTCAGAACTTGGACCCAGCCCAAAGGAAAATATTAACCAAGTTTCAGTGACCTACAAATAGTAAATCCTTTGAATGGGGTGGTAAACAAACCTTGATCCTAGACATGAATCAAGAACGAAACAAAAACATATTGTAGGGCTATAATGGAGTTGTGCATAATATGATATCCCTGAGATGTCCAAGCAGAGCATGGATTGCAGTCACTTGAACTAATGACACTGGTAGTTGGGGGTTTAACATCGCTTTGAACAGTGCTGGGAACGAACCCCAAAGTGATGCAGGTCTGAATTGTTTACCACGTTGGTGAAACCCCGAGCATGGGTATGGTGCTGACAAACCGGGAAAAATAATCAGGGTAAACTGGTGGAACAGGCTGAAATATTCTTCTGGCCAAGACCAGACCTCCCCCACCTAAAGCCCGAATGGAGGTGGGGATTATCAGTTCTCTCCCAATCATAGGGCCAGTTCCCAGTTCTATCTCATCCTGGGTCAGACCTTCCGCCAGGTTCTTCAAACATGTATCAACATTTTATAATCATAATTATGGAATATTGATGATAATTGATGACTGATAAGAGCTAAGCTTCTATGCTGCAAATGACAAACTTGATGTTTCCATAATTTTTTTGGATTCATTTCTCTCTACTAATTCCATTATGGCTTAATTAAAATGAAAATATGATGTAACTCAAGTAGAGGGGGAGCTTAATAAATAAATATAATTGTAGCATTTTTCTAAGAAGAAAGAATAATTAGATACCTCTTTATTATAATTTGGAACCTCGCGCTACAGCGCTCGGTTCAAAATTAAAATAAAAAGGTATCTATTCTACAGTGGGACTACATCAAATTTCAAAACACAGTAGGTTTATCTCCATTCTACCATGACGGCAACAACGCTTTGAAAACTGCACTATCTTGCAACGCGTGACAACACAGGCACACAGGTCTGCAATTTTAGAACATTCCGAAAAGTGGTCACAGGTAGTTATATATGTAACAATTATTACTAAACTTCAAGATTAAAAACACCATAGTCGTGAGTAGTTCAAAATAAGTGTTCAAAACACATAGTTTTTCAAAAGAAGTTGACAAATAACACTCCAAACTTAGTCCAAAGACAGATGTTTTAATCTCTACCGACTTGTTGTACACTGTTGTACACTGTGGACTGACTGGCAATATTCTCGGAAGTTGCAAGAGAGGTCATTTCTTGGAAATCGAACATGCCAACATTTCTATTGTAGGGGTGACAGGTTAAAATGCTAAACGAATATATTTCTATAACAAACTTTTTGAATTAACATTCTATTATACATTTAACATGTGTAATTGTTATTAGTTAGTTAGCAATTACCCCTAGTAAACAATAATAACATCAAAATAAATGCCTCTCCACCCCGAACTTGGATGTGGCAGAACTTGACCTACATCACGGTTACTCACACCTCGCAGCTGTTAATGGCTGACAATCTTGTGTATACATTCTCCGTAACGAGTTATAGAATGAAGCAAGATGACAACCCCTATCTATGATGTGGTTCAACATTAACATGTAGATTATCTGGGATTGATCGAGCCTGCTGGTACATCCATATGATTACCAATGTGACTGAGTATGACTGAACAGCCGCTTTTTAGGCTGCAGAGACGAGCCGGATATTTTGAAACAAGGAATCTGCATGGTGTGACCTGTCAATTTCAAGATTTCACGGATCCAAAGCCAGATAGTGACAGAACTTAGACATTTGTGGCCCAGAAATAGTGGATCGTGTATGATTTTTGTAATTATACGTGTTCTGAAATGAATTTCATCAAGTTTGCTAAGCTGTCACTTCAGTTGGCACATTGTTTTCGTGGACTTTCGAAGGGGAGTGTTTTCTGGTGGACTTTTAAATCCCCTCCTGCCAAATTCTAACGGTGGTGGTTGACGAAGATGGCAACGAATATCGATCACAAAAAGGTTTGCAAACAACATGTTGTCATGAATAAAGTTTTTTCAAACAGTTTTTATAATGTTATATTTTACTTTCATTTTACTTTCATTGTCGGTTGTTTCAATGAGGAAATAGCTTAAATTGTTCCGATTCTGCTCACCATAGAACATTTCCCTAACAGTTTCATAAACATTTCATCTGTATGCAAAAGATATGCTTTCGTTAAATCTTTTAATGTCATCATCGAAGCAGTCAGGAGTGCGGCCTAGCCAACTCCCAAAACATCCGATATCAAACTACCCAATTTCTTCTATTTGATGCTATGCCATCTGTTAATTTCGCGAGAGCCCTTGCCTCGGCGTGTATAAGAGACCTGACTAGTATTAGAGACCCAGCGTGTATTAGAGGAAAACTAGATACGTTTTACAGTTCATATGGGGTGATCGATCGGCAGCCATTTTCTATGAATTGATATGTAGGCTATCTATGTATTCATACACACGTTATTTTGTGAAAAGGCTTAATATATTTGAAAGGGGTTTCCGTAGCAAAAAGGAAACCTCTTTTTAACCAATCAGAATCAAGCATTCATCAATGTCATGATAGAATGTTAATTAATCTCTTTGTTGAGGTAATTAAACAATGAGATTCTCAAAAAATCAACACCACTATTTTTTTTATACTGAGTCTCCTTGTTTCAGTCAGTTTCCACATTGCTATTTGTTAAAACAGATATATGGAAGGTGCAACTGTTGAAATAAAAAGTGTTTCAATCAAACACATGTCAACAGCATTCAGATGTGATTTAACGCTTATAAAAAGTACCTGAAGTCTTAACTGCAATGGTAACTAAGATATACTTAAGCTAAATTGTTTTCTAAATGACTAAAATACTCAGACTATTGTTACGAGTATATCACCATGTATGTTATATAACAACTACATAACCGAGACTGAGTGGGTCAGATTGCTGACTTTGTGTGCAGGCGATTAGGTGTCTCACTCTGGCAGTGTGGGTTCCAATCCTGGATGGGACTCTACCCCAAAAGGTACAAGAATCTGTACTTTACTAACAAAGTGTTATCCCAAATATAACATTTGTTATATTTGACCACTTTCTCAATGGCATTGTGTGTTCAACTACATAATTTGTCAAATATGATACCTTGCATCTCAATATGAAATCTATCTTTCCAATCATAGATACTGTATATATATATTATGTTATTTATGGGAAGATTTAGCCTTTGTAATATACACAAAAATGGATAGATCTGAAACTTATCTACCTGATATAATAATCTAGTTTTGGGTTATTACATTGATATTTTGTTTCCTATTTGGAAATATGATATTTTTGTATTTCAAAAAGACTTGCTCGCTCCTCATAATAGATCTGCCCTCATCATTTTCGGCTATAGGAAATTAAACATTAATTTTTTTCACCCACTTGCACCTATTACTTGCATCCTGGTTCCAGAATGCCGAAGAACTAAAAATCAAATTTGCATGGCCTTATTGCCACTGTATCTGAAAGTAAGAGTGGGAAGTATGTGGCCTTTGTTTAGCTTCCCCATCTAAGCTCAGTTTAACATTTTAGCGGGGAAAATCTGGCGAGGTGTGGGAAAGAACTGGCCTAGGATATTCCTTCCCCAGGTAAGAAATGGCCAGAAGGTTTACCATGGTACACTGGGATTTAAACCCTTGATCTTAGGTAGTGATGCAACTCTGCACTGGTAGAAGAATAAATAGCTTTGTATAAGCAAGTAGTGTACCAAAGGTACTTGCATTTTGCAATGAGATTCTACCCTCACCTGCTCTGACGGGCCGGTATCCTGGTTGACTGAACTTGTCCCACATGGCAACAACTATACACATGATGCCCAAAACAAAAATCAAGACAAGGTAAGCCACCTTGGGCTCAGTACGACAGTAGAAGCTGTAGTAAAGCCATGGCACAAAGGAACCCATAGTCAGGAGGGCAATTCCACAATAATCCAACCTGAAACACATAGTAGGGATTCCAATTTGAGAGTGTACCACAAACTAAATGCTGCAAACTATGTGAATATAGAAGAAAAGTAGCAGTCAAACAAAACTGTAACTCAACTGGGTATGTGGTCAACATTAGGGTCTGGTAACCGTTTGGTAGCTATTAGATTACTCGAACTCTATCCTTAGCCCTTGGATCCTAAGTTCCCAACTATGATCAATCACCCCTAGCTTTATGATCATATGGGTTAGATACACGTTTAGTGGCTATTTTAGATTCTATAGTGGCTCCTAATATTCTTCATACAAAAATGCAACAAAAGCAGGATGAAATGACTTAGTGTCGAATATTGGAAACTGTCCTGGAACATTCACACAAGCCACTTTATCCTGCTACATATATTCAGTAATTATTCAAAAGACAACTCACCCTTGTGACACCATTAGTCATGCTTATGTCTCTCTCCTAACCAGTGAAATTATGAATGAAATTCTCTTTAAATGAAACGATGTCTCCACACCAGGGCGATAAGAAAGAGAATGAGCAAGCTTGGGATGTCATGTGATCAAGCTACGCTGAAGCAAACATAAACACTTGGTTTGTTACTTATTTTCCCTCACTACAAAACTTGCTTGCATATTATCCTCCTTGACTTCACAACTAAACTTACTGCAAATCCATGAAAATGTGTTTCAACCCAACCCACCTATTAATGCACCACTAAAACTGCATTCATTAAGATTATTATCCAACATCATGAACCACTGCACCTTTTGAACTTCTCAACACAAAGAAACAGAAGTACTTACTTATTAAAGAACTTGCCAACCCTTTCTGAGTGACAATAAACTGTGTGGAACACCCAGGAGAAACCCATACACAAGATGGCACCAGCAAAGAAGGCTGAGAAAACAGCTTTTTCCTGCCACTGAATCTCCACAGATGGCCTAGACAGGAAGTAGATGGCTATACCCATAAAAGCTATCATACCTTTAAAGGAAAAAAAACAAACGTTACAATCAACATGGTTAGTATATTTAAACAGTCAAATATGAGACTGGTCAGACAAATCATTACACCGGTACCACTTTCAACAACTAACTAAACTAAAGTCAGACAACAAAGTTCAGCTGCATTTATACTCAAATACTATAATTATCTGCATAAAAAGATGCCAAAAGATAAGCATAAATCAGGGAACAAACTTAACCATGCATCCTAATCTGCAGCAATATTTAATGTAAGGCATAATATATTACTGACTGAACATCTATATACTGACTGAACATCTATATACAGACTGAACATCTATATACAGACTGAACATCTGTATACAGACTGAACATCTATATACAGACTGAACATCAATGTACAGACTGAACATCTATGTACAGACTGAACATCTATATACAGACTGAACATCTATATACAGACTGAACATCTGTATACTGACTGAACATCTATATACAGACTGAACATCTGTATACAGACTGAACATCTGTATACAGACTGAACATCTATATACAGACTGAACATCAATGTACAGACTGAACATCTGTATACAGACTGAACATCTGTATACAGACTGAACATCTATATACAGACTGAACATCTGTATACAGACTGAACATCTATATACTGACTGAACATCTATGTACAGACTGAACATCACTGTACAGACTGAACATCTATATACAGACTGAACATCTATATACTCACTGAACATCTATATACAGACTGGACATCTATATACAGACTGAACATCTATATACAGACTGAACATCTATATACAGACTGGACATCAATATACAGACTGAACATCTATATACAGACTGGACATCTATATACAGACTGAACATCAATATACAGACTGGACAGCTATATACAGACACTGAGACTGAACAGCTATATACAGGCTGAACAGCTATATACAGACTGAACATCAATGTACAGACTGAACATCTATATACAGACTGAACATCTATATACAGTCTGGACATCAATATACAGGCTGGACAGCTATATACAGACACTGAGACTGAACAGCTATATACAGGGTGAACAGCTATATACAGACTGAACATCAATGTACAGACTGAACATCTATATACAGACTGAACATCTATATACAGACTGGACAGCTATATATTGACTGAACATCTATATACAGACTGAACATCTGTATACAGACTGAACATCTATATACAGACTGAACATCTATATACAGACTGAACATCAATGTACAGACTGAACATCTGTATACAGACTGAACATCTGTATACAGACTGAACATCTATATACAGACTGAACATCTATATACAGACTGAACATCTGTATACAGACTGAACATCAATATACAGACAGAACATATGTATACAGACTGAACATCAATATACAGACTGAACATCAATATACAGACTGAACATCAATGTACAGACTGAACATATGTATACAGACTGAACATCTGTATACAGACTGAACATCAATATACAGACTGAACATCTATATACAGACTGAACATCTATATACTCACTGAACATCTATATACAGACTGAACATCAATGTACAGACTGAACATCTGTATACAGACTGAACATATGTATACAGACTGAACATCAATATACAGACTGAACATCAATATACAGACTGAACATCAATGTACAGACTGAACATCAATGTACAGACTGAACATATGTATACAGACTGAACATCTATATACAGACTGAACATCAATATACAGACTGAACATCTATATACAGACTGAAGATCTATATTCAGACTTAACATCAATGTACAGACTGAACATCTATATACAGACTGGACATCTATATACAGACTGAACATCAATATACAGACTGGACAGCTATATACAGACACTGAGACTGAACAGCTATATACAGGCTGAACAGCTATATACAGACTGAACATCAATGTACAGACTGAACATCTATATACAGACTGAACATCTATATACAGTCTGGACATCTATATACAGTCTGGACATCAATATACAGGCTGGACAGCTATATACAGACACTGAGACTGAACAGCTATATACAGGGTGAACAGCTATATACAGACAGAACATCAATGTACAGACTGAACATCTATATACAGACTGAACATCTATATACAGACTGGACAGCTATATATTGACTGAACATCTATATACAGACTGAACATCTGTATACAGACTGAACATCTATATACAGACTGAACATCTATATACAGACTGAACATCAATGTACAGACTGAACATCTGTATACAGACTGAACATCTGTATACAGACTGAACATCTATATACAGACTGAACATCTATATACAGACTGAACATCTGTATACAGACTGAACATCAATATACAGACTGAACATATGTATACAGACTGAACATCAATATACAGACTGAACATCAATATACAGACTGAACATCAATGTACAGACTGAACATATGTATACAGACTGAACATCTGTATACAGACTGAACATCAATATACAGACTGAACATCTATATACAGACTGAACATCTATATACTCACTGAACATCTATATACAGACTGAACATCAATGTACAGACTGAACATCTGTATACAGACTGAACATATGTATACAGACTGAACATCAATATACAGACTGAACATCAATATACAGACTGAACATCAATGTACAGACTGAACATCAATGTACAGACTGAACATATGTATACAGACTGAACATCTATATACAGACTGAACATCAATATACAGACTGAACATCTATATACAGACTGAAGATCTATATACAGACTGAACATCAATGTACAGACTGAACATCTATATACAGACTGAACATCAATATACAGACTGAACATCTATATACAGACTTAACATCTATATACAGACTAAACATCAATATACAGACACTGAGACTGAACATCAATATACAGACTGAACATCTGTATACAGACTGAACATCAATGTACAGACTGAACATCTATATACAGACTGAACATCTGTATACTGACTGAACATCTATATACAGACTGAACATCTATATACAGACTGAACATCAATGTACAGACTGAACATCGATATACAGACTGAACATCTGTATACTGACTGAACATCTATATACAGACTGAACATCTATATACAGACTGAACATCAATGTACAGACTGAACATCTATATACAGACAACATCTGTATACAGACAGAACATCAATATACAGACTGAACATCAATATACAGACTGAACATCTATATACAGACTGAACATCAATATACTGACTGAACATCTATGTCTCATATCAGACTCTCCTATGGCAAGCTGTTTTCACATATATTGCAAAAGTAGTGATATCTTCAATCATCTCAAATATACTGATATTGACACTTATAGTGAATATAATCTGTTCCACAAATCTCTCCAAAATGATAGAAACAATGGGGTACTGATATCATGGATAATAAGATGTTTTGGAAATTGGAATGTTTCATTTGAAATTAGAATTAGCAACTGTACTGATGTGAAAAAAACTAACTGTAGATGACAGAAAGTCACTTTTGTTTGTTTAGTGGTATGTGGTTGAATGTCTTGGTATTCAGGGGTTAACTGCAAAAAGCGTGCAGTTCGATGAGAAATTTGAAAGTGTTTAACAACTGTTCAACTGATGTACGACTGTTACTAACCCTATGATTCTAACACAAAATTTGTAACAATAAGCAATACATAGCATATGCATGCCTGATATAAGTACTTTTGAAAGCGTCATTTTGTATAATGTTTGTTTACAGCCCGTACGATTGAATGAGTGAGTGAGTATGGTTTTACACCGTTACCAGTTACCAGCGTGTTGTTGTGATATGTGCAACCTGCTTCATTTTCTGTACTGATAGTACTTACCATCACAACAGTGTGAAATTATTGCATGTGTTTCACTTCTGAAATTGACTGTTTGGAAGCATCATGTCACAGAAGAAAACAGTATATGAAAAATTGGCAGAATGATTATTGACTTTGAAACTAACATCTTGCATACCTTGCGAAACTGCATCGAAAACAGTTTTGAGTAGCTATAACGCATTGTCAATGTATTTCAAATGTTATACCTGCCACACTTCTTTGACTTAGTGGTGTACAGATTCTTGGCAAACCATCTCGGAAACAAGCAGCCCAATTATGACACGGCAAGTACAGAATGCGCTGCTTATGTATTAATCACTTAACTTTAAAAAAATAAATATTTTAAGTAGTCAATTTTTTATAAGGTTAATAAAATTTTCTAAATACAAGCCAGGTTTCATTTTGTGATTTCTTACATAAAGGTCCCCCAAAATTCTCAAAGCTATACACCACCAACAAGCACACATGGGACCCAGTTGGGATCTACAGTGAGCAATGTAAAGCAACTGCTCAAGGGTTTTGCCAACTGGGTACCCACAAAAAAGGCCACAAATATCATGATTATCATGCAAGTGAGTTTTGGGATGGTATCAAAAATGGTTATAAGTGTTAATAATTTTGAACAAAAGTGGCTGTGTAATGGTCATAAATAGGGCATCCCCATTGAGGAAAACAAGCATGTGAAATTTCAGCTTTATTGGTCCAATGGCTTCTGAGGATGTGTTTACAACTGACTATGCACAGATCACGACGTAAACTCACCCGACTTTCAGTCAGGTGGGCTAAAAATATGCCCAAGTTGCAACCATTTTTCATGTTAACTTTGAATATTTCAGCAATGTATTATCAGGCATTTATTGTAAAATGCTTAAATCTCATTATCTCAGAAGTCTAAGTTTATAATATACAGCTTACCTAGGAGATGTGTCCATATATTGCCTGTTTCAGTGTGAATCTGAAATATTGACTTGAAACAAGCCATGAATGAACCTGTGGGTGGGCGGTGTCCTTTGAGCAGGAAATCATTGTCTTTGAGCCAGTCAGGGAGTGAGTGATGGTGAACCACTCGCCATCCTGCTTCCCATACCTTTCGAACAAATTCTTCTGCTTGCTCAGCGCATTTTGCTGGTACTGACAGTATATTCACTCCATCAGCATCCTCAAAAGCCTTCTCATTATTGGCATGATCAGAATCCTGCAACAAACAAGTAGGCTTTGTATGGGCTTAGTTTCAAAATCTAGTAATAATCATGCACAATCAAGTGTACATGCTATTGGTAGAGTTATTACAGCTTGTAAAGGGAAAGCAAAGCAGGTTATATCAAACAAAGCCAAAACACATAATCTCCTCAGAAGCCCTCTACTTCTTTTAACGGAAAATATCTAGGTTTTCTATCACACGAGGATCACACAAATCTTACATCAAGACAAGTGGCTAAAGTTGCAGACAGTTGATACTTCTCAAATGATGTTTTCTTTCAATACAGCATTAGAAATCGGAATTAATCCTATAGTCCTTGCCTAACTGCAAAATAGTTAAGGTTTTTGTTGCCAGATCGCCAGCAGTTGAAGGTAGATCACCATACTAGGGACCATGGGGACTTACAGTACTTTAGCTTCCTGCATGGGCCCCAGCAGGATTTACAACATCCCTTCAGGTGTTGGCGATTATTGTCAATTTAGCCGAATTTAAAGAACATATTCTGCGATTAAAAACGTGGTAGTCATAAACATACTGTGAATGACGTGGACTTACGTACCATCTCCAGGGGACAATCCTTTTACACAACTTCAACCCCCTTCGAGGTACAGCTACTAACAATCTTAGTTATCCAATTTATTCTACCAATATTAAAAGATCATTTATTAATTACAAAACACATTTATCAAAATTTATGTACAAGTTCTATTTCTTTTATAAAACTAAGGATTAAATGAGAGCTGATATTGTTAAAAAGATCCTTTAACGATGAAACTTTGAAATATTTATCCCTTGTGATGGAAAAATCAATACAGTCAAGCATGTCTTGCTTGACTGTGATTCTTTCATCACAAGGGATACAGAATGGAGGATCCTCACCTTTCAATATATATTCATTGGTATATCTTGAATGGCAAATACGACATCGTCGCATAATGACCTATCAAATCTGGACTCACAACCCAAGTAGCCTGACCTAACACAGAAGTGGTAACATCAAATATCTTCTTATTACTGCTTGTAATTTTGTCTGAAAGTATGGTGGGGAGGCAGGTCTGCGACGGAGGGCCCTTAGACATAGTAATGCAGGAGAAGTATATAAATGTAAAATGATTTTACTAAATGAGGAGTTCATTATTAGTGTCGGAAGTTGGTAACCTGCTGGGCTATAACCAAAGGGCCAAATCTGTGAATGCCTTTGACATCTTCTAGTACCACATCTCTCACATAATGGCTAGCGAAGACGGTATTGGACAGGGGATCAAAGTAAGTAATCTTGTATGCCTGAAGGATGACTGTGAGCAACCATATAGATATATTATTACAGCTGACTTCGGTCATGGATGAGGGAATAAACAACCCCTTCCGCACACCACGCTGAGTTAAGGGTAGTGCACATACAGGGCACAATAAGAGTTTATGCTCGTCTTCAGCACCCACAGTCCTGGAGATAGGTGGAATGGTAAAGGACCGGTCGAGCTGTCCTGGTAACTGATTCTTAGTTATAAAATCCATACAAAGCCTGAGGTGAACCGCTCCATGCGTATGATGCTCAAAGTTCACACGGGTGATATTGAGGGTGCAATTCGCTAACCCGTCACAGTGGCTAGAGCCAAGAGAAATATTGTCTTGTGAGGTTAAAAAAGGATGTTGCATGGAGAGACTTTAATGGCAGCCCATGCAAAAACAGGAGTACCACACTCAAATCCAAAACAGGGGGACGCAACTTGGCCTTCTGATCCTCAAACCTGAATGAGCAAAGGAGGGCCCGTAGTTCCGTAACTTTGGTCATCTCACGATCCTCTGAATTGGCCAACACTGAAGTAAGATTGTTTATTTGTTGTTTAATGCAGCAATCAGCAATATTACAGCTACACTGAAATAAGAGCCTCCAAGTATGATGTAATGGTGCTGCCCTTCAAGTGTCGTTTGGCACGCAAATGTAAGAGGTACTCGGCTAAGTACTGAGGTGATGCTGCTGTGGGGTCTTGACTTTTTCTCCTCACAAAAGGTTTCAAATGATCAGCACTTATGATCATATAAGCCTCTGGTAGGTGGACGGGTGCGCCAAGGCAATAGCCTTAGCTGCCTGAGCCGAATAGCCGTTTGCGCTTGGAGCTCTCTTAAGATGAACCAAGTGTGCAGATAAATAGTACCTGGCGTTGGATGTGGCAGTTTGCTGTGAGGGTAAATAGGTAGATTTGACCACTCTGGCAGGGGTAGTGGAATGTTTTCTCCAAGACTTCTGAGGTCTTACTAGGCTCTTGGTTGCTAATTATCTTTTGTATCATCCTGGGAAGGAGTACAGGATGTGGAAAAGCATACGCTTTTAGTCCTTATCAGGGGATGCTGATGTGTCTACCGCCCATGCCTGTGGATCCGGGATCGGTGAGACATACATCATTAGCTGGTGGTTTTGATGCGTGGTAAAGAGTTTGACATTGATGTGACCGAAACGCTGATGCACCAGTTGAAACGCCTCTGGGTGGAGCCACCCTGTCTGCTCTGGATAATACATCCTGGGATGTGCTTGACTAGGAATTGTAGACCCAGTCAATACACCAGAAGAAAGAAACAAAACATCTGTTGAAGCAGGGAATGAGAGTGCGCTGTCCTTTGATTGTGCAGGCAGCAAACCACTGTGCTGTTGTCGGTGGAGATGGCGAGTTGAGTGTTCTGGAGGCGCTGCTTCCAATGTGATGTAGCCAGAATGAGTGCATCCAAATTGAGGTTGTTGAAGTATCATGTGTGCTGGAACACAGCCCTAAAAGCTGTCTGGTCCTGTAGATGTGCACCCTACCCCTGTAGGGAGGCGTCTATGAACAGGTGTAGTTAGCTCTGTTAAGGAGACACCTCTGAGACATTCAACTCTATCGTCCACCAACTGAGATCAATCCTGAGGTAAGACAGAAGAGAGATGGCTGGGTAGGTGTCCTGATGTCTGATGTAAGGCACCAGGAACTGCTGTATGAGCAGATGACCTCTGCTTGTCAAATCCTGGGCTGATGTGACTTGCCTCTGGTGAAGTGTGTGGGATTGTTGAAGGGCAGGTTACAGATGGCATAGAATCCTGCTCCATCTGTCCCATGGCACTGATAGGAGGTCCCGATCTGTTTGAAACAGGCCACCTATGAACTGGAGTCAGTATAATGGAATCATTTCTATTAGCGGGACAATACACTGATCCAACACATTTTTTTACTTCTCGATACAAGTATTGATCATAATTGCACACTAAGTAAAAAGTATTGATTCTTATCTTAAATGTATTCTTTAATAAATGTTACACCAAAAACTAATTACTAGTGAAAACGAGTACTGAATATGAAAATATTTTCATCCATTGCGCCATACTTGACACTGTTAAGTGTAAATCGTTAGTGTGCCAGGTATTTGCTCATCTTGTCTATGTAAAAGATGGCTTACACACCACAGATTATAGCACATGCAAGTATCGTGATACGTATTGGATTGTGAGCAAGGTATCTTGATATGCATTTGAATGCACAGTCCTAATAATTTTCAACTTCGCCTTGTCGACCTCCCTACCCAGTTGATAGACTAGACGCCTGGTGAAGTCTCGATGGAGAACCAAGGTCACAGAGTCCGGTTGATTCAGGAGGCAGTCGTCTATGTACGACTCGACCGGGTGTTCCTCAGGTGTAGGATGGCAGGTACTGGCTTGGTTAGTCGTGTAAATAGCCATTGGGCCAGGGAAATGCCAAAGGGCAGGAGTGCTTATTGGTAGTGGACCCCATTGCACTGGAACCAGAGGAACCTGTGGTCAGATGGATGGATAGATACATTCACGTAAGCATCGTACAAGTCAAGACTGATCAGATAATCGTAAATGTTGATGCTTGTCCTGAACAGTCTCAAGGTTGTGAGGCAAAAGTACGGCGGACGCATCAGGTAACACTTGTTGAACACGGAGAGAGTCCTCATTGGGCACCAGCAAGATGGGAGAGTAAAAGATTGTATAAACAGGTCGACTTCGCCTGTTTATTCAGGTATTTAAGGACGCACACGCCCCTAAGCAATCAGTCTGATGAGCACAAGCCGTGCGAAACTAGTTACTATTACTATTGCGACCTATAGCTTTATATCTACTGGTGAAGCCCCCACCAGTCAGTTTATCTATTTATCTCTGCGACACCTTTAAGTATGTCAACCCTTATCACGCCGGTTCCGTCCATCTCGAATTTCGAGAGCTCTTCTTCCATCACCATGGAAATAGAAGTTGATGTCCATCTAGACCAAGATGGAGGCAATCCTTTAAAACGGAAACGGATCACATTCGGTAACATCCCCGCCAACACCGGCGTTGAGACCAAAGCAGTGTCTTTACCACCGGATCTTATGCAATCTTACAAAGATCTTCGTAACGCAGTTAGCAAACGTGCACGCACCCAAGTACAGTCAGAATACTTAGGCGCCTGTATCACGGGTGGACTGGTACCAGACCAGTTTTTCATCATACCACCGGCTACACAAACCACGTACTCCATGGACCTCGCCCTACAGCGCAGCAATGCTGTTAAGACTTGTTGTACCACACTCATGAGTACACAAAAAGAACTTTTAGAACGCCAGCTTACTTCCGTTAACGATTCAGTTAAACTGCTGGAAGATAAAATTATCTCCAAAGCGGATCAACACTCTCAAAACATCATCAACACTGCTTGTCAAGCAGTCAAAGACAGAGAGCACAAGTCCACACATGAAAAATTCAACACCAGATTTGTTAGCCTACAACAGACGGCCATCAAATCTGACCCCTTCGCCGCCAAACTATACGTGCAAGGGACCCCAACCCAGAAACGGGCCAAATCTCCCAAGTTTCGCCGCTCGAGACAACCATCACGTGATCGAACTCGTGGACTACGCAGACCACGACAGAACTTCCACCCCGACAGGGGCAATCAAGGAAACAATTCGCGGGACCTCAAACGGGCCCTAGAGCTGTTGTCAAAGCACCTCAACTTCAACAACAACAGTTTGTGCAATAAACTTTCTAATCTGGATCTGAACAATAACTCAGATAATAAAACTGGTGAATCTTATCAGGACAATTTTGTTATCAATCTTTCCGATTATGACCTTAATCCATCTGAATTAGAGGTTCTCAACAAGGGACTCACTTTTAGCCCCACCCCCAGATTTACTGACAAAAGTAAAACCTTTTCCGACCTGAAACAATTCTTCAGGAAATTACGTCTCACTCATTTTTTCGATGACTCCACCATTGATGGCACTTCACATCCGCTCCAGAACACACTGGATCGCAAATTCGGTCCCAAAAGCACTTGGACCCCTAGACCTTACACCGACCCAACACTAGAGTCGTTTATCAAAGCAGTCTCCAATGATTTTTACAAACTTGGTAATATAAAATTCAGACGCCAAAATATCACTGACGCCAAAATATCACTGGCGCACACAGAACTGCACTAAAACAGCTCAAATTTAATAGTGAAATCATCATTAAAAAAGCTGATAAAGGTTCGGCAGTAGTAATACAGAACACTACTGATTACATCAAAGAGGCAGAAAGGCAGCTCTCTGACACTAAGTTCTACGTCAAATCAGACTATGACCTCACAGAAAGATTTTCTGAAATCGTTGCCAAGGAACTAACTAATCTGTTCCTCAAAGAAGAACTATCACACAAATGTTTTACGGGACTTTTACCGCAAAACGCTAAAGCAGGAAGATTTTACCTGCTCCCCAAAATACACAAATGTTTATTACCAGGAAAAATACCGGGCCGTCCCATCATCAGTGGGAATGGCACACCTACTGAAAACATCAGTAGCTTTGTAGACGAACACATCAAAGCATTTGTCAGCAGATATCCCAGTTACCTCAGGGATACAACACACTTCATACAGAGATTAGAATCACTCAATCTCCCCAACAACCGAGACATTATGCTTGTTACTATGGATGTCACCTCGCTGTACACCAACATTCCAAACGGCGAAGGCCTTAGAGCCGTTGCACAAGTCATTCGTAAGTTTAAACCAGACTGGCAAATTTCGCCCACCGGTTTACTCTCTCTCCTAAAAATCATTTTACACAATAACAATTTTGTGTTCAATAACCAACATTATCTACAAGTTGGAGGCACAGCTATGGGGACGAAAGTCTCCCCGTCCTATGCCAACATTTTTATGGGAGAATTGGAAACTCAACTCCTATCTGGGCATCTCGATAAGCCGGACTTCTACGCCCGATTTATTGACGACATTTTCATTATCTGGACGCTTTCTTAATAATGCACACCATTCCATTAAATTCACCGCAGAATTTTCCAGGAATAAAGGGGCCTTCTTGGACACGTGGGTTTCTTACAACAAACAGGAATGCAAACTGCAGTTCACTTTATATAACAAACCCACGGACACACACTCCTATCTGTTGTACACGTCTTGTCACCCCAGTCATATCAAAACGAAAGGGCCATTCAGCCAATTCCTGAGACTCAAGAGAATTTGCTCCTCTGAATCAGACTATGATACACATAGTAGAAATCTCATAAACTACTACCTCAAAAGGGGTTACCCAAATAAAACACTACAACAAAATAAATACCAGGCAGACGCTTGCAAAAGAGAATCACTCTAAGCAACCGAACCCAAACCTGCTCCCATCAGGAAACAGGTGCTTATTAGCGATTACAATCCATTGAACATGGAGCTCAACAGGATCATCAGAAATCGGGGGCATTTACTCACCGGTTCTGACACTTTGTTGCTTCTCAATTCCCCATGTCTCGGCCTATAGAAGGAATCCTACCTTTAAGGATTACCTTGTTAGGACAGTACTACACCACCCACCCACCAAACCGCAAATTAGCAGCAAGGTAGCCAACTTCGTTAATGAGAGTTGCAAAAGAGAAGGATGCAAAATCTGCAACTCCCTAGGCAGAACACATACGTTTCGCAGCTCAACATTAGGCAAAACATTCAAAACCCACAAGTTTGAATGTACAAGTAAAAACATAGTTTACTTGCTAACTTGCAACAAATGTAAGAAACAATACGTCGGAGAATCCAAAAGAGAATTTCAGACTAGACTGAAAGAGCACTTTGCAGACATCAGCTACAAGAGAGACAAACCTGTAGCTAATCACTTCAATAGTGATGATCACAGCACCAAAGATATTAGATATAACATCATAGCACAGCTCAAGGAAAACCCTGAGTCTACTGACACCACAGTTAAGAGGAGAGCACTCGAACTGAGGTGGATATTTGAGCTAAAAACGTTCCACCCGCACGGTCTCAATCACAGAATGGTTGGCTGATTAATTCCCCCTTTGGTCAACTTGCTGTACAACTGGGTCGGGCGTAAGATTTCACACTTGTACGGAACAAGTTTTTTATTCAGCCTCGGCCATCGCACAGCACTGTTTCTGTCATAAGGTAAACAGTAGATGCCTTAAAGGAGTAATGCAGACTAAGTAAAAACATTATATTATATATATATTATACTGTCAAGTCTTAGGAAAAATATGTAAATGGATGTGAAACGCAGCATTTACAATTATTTCTCTACCCATTTAGGATTTTTACATTAGAAATAAGTCCATACATAATTCATAGGGTTTGAACTACAACCAAAAGATTATCAACTGACAGTGAAGAGGACGTCTGCTGAAAAACCGAAAGATTTCAATTGTTTTAGTTTAGCCAAAATGGAAATTATGGCCACAGTGTATTTGAAGGATTTATATTAATTCACTTGTCCCTTGTTTACAGAAGCCTCGAATATCTGAAATCACCCACAGTGTACAGTGCTGTATGCTGAAAGATAACCAGTATGCAGTTGTGTGAAATGTGCTAGAAATTCAGCAATCTAAAGGGCAAGCTGCATCTGTTCAATTTCAAACAGAGCCTGCTCAGGGTACAGAGAATGAAAAGCATATTCAGTCTGGAAAGATCTTCCTCTGGTCCAGGACATTCATGATGGATATTTTTAGTTCCTGTAACACTTGGTGGCCACCACTTTGCCTTACTGAAGAGAACATAGCTGACCAATAGGAGCTGGTGGTCTGAACTTTTTGCTCATAAATTAAATTGAAATGGGAATGTCTCTGTATAAGAGATGCAGGAGGCAAATGTGCTGCGTAAGCCATGTGTTTCTCCAGCACTCCCAGGAATTCATGGCAAAGAAGGCACATACTTGCCTTGCCTCGCAGGTGTTTGCATATGTTCTTTATGCTATGCACAAAACAGATTTATCATGAACTAATTCATTGATTTACCACAACTATCATCTGTCTAATGTATTTACTGCCTTGATTCTGAAAAAAAATGTTGTTTTTAAATCAGTTGTCATATTGATCTTACCTCTGCTTCATGTAAGAGACGTCCTACTTCTGATCTTTTTATTATGTCCTTCCTCTTGAAGCCAACATCAATTTCCTCTTCAGCATCAGAATAGTCACTATCGAGAGCTATTGAGTCAACACTAAGTGCATGTGGTTGTATATAGATTGGTGTAGGCAGGGCTGAGGCTCCATCAGAGTAAGCCTGTGAGGTACTGGCACCTCTCTCCATATTTCTTTGTTTTAAACTTTAAATAGTAATATAGCCTTGTGGGACACCTTGTGTGGTCTCCTATCTTTCTTTGCCTGAAGAAAAGAAGATTACAAGTAAATAAAGAGTGGTTTTAGAACATGTGAACCCAACTTGCTTCATTCAAAAGTATGACATGGCTTGAGATGTCTGAGCACATGCAAAACGAGGCAAATCGGACTCACTTGAGTTTAGGTCAGATTGACATAATATGTCATCGCGATAGGACGTACATTCAACAGATTAGTTCATACTTCGTCAAATAGGACATAGGTAAAACACATTTGTTTGGATAGGCCATCTCAATAGGGCGCACCATAGCTTGATGCAATAGAACTAGACTATTGATATACTGGCAGGTTTGATAGACTTTGAAATCATATTTAGTTTATTTTGTCATACCGGTACATGTATTTACATTTTTTCATATTTTTAGGAAGAGATTCATGTTTAGTTCCCAACATTTATTATCTGAATTACTTCATCAATATCAAGAGCTTCACGTTTAGTTCCCCTAAAGCAACATTAAGGGAAACTTAGCATTTTTGTTGATAGTTTATATTGCCACTGGGCAACAGAGCATAAAAATCAAGCCACAGCTAGGCATCTTCATAATGTTTGGAACACAGCAAACATATCGAAACAGTCAAAAGACACAAAAGGTGTATAATACTCCTACAGAAAATGCACAAAATTTGAGAGCTAAACAAAAACTAAGCCAAGTTCACAAACTCAGAAGGCATAAACTAATTGAGCTTACAGAGAAATACTGAAATGGAAAGGTTTTTAAGTACAGTATTGGACACAAACCCTGACTAAAGTTAAAGTCAATGCCAGGGAAGTACAACTGACAGATTGAAATTCCAGGAAAGCAAATGGCACCAGCTCAGCACTTGTGTGATGTTTGTGAAAAGTCTCACAAGCTTATAATATAGCTTATGAGTTAGGCTCAGGACATGAACCCTACACTCATTTCAACAAGTCTGACATGTTACCTTGGCACAATAAAAACTAAAACTATAGCCAGAGAGGCTAGTTGTGTAAGCAAAATTTCACAATAAATATTTAACAGCTTGTTCACTTCCACATGACGTGCTGCCTTGGAAATGCAAAAAATTTAAACTTAAAAAATACAAATAGTTCTGATCATCACTTTACCATGTTTACTGTTGTGTAGACAAATCTTCATGCTATGTCCTGGAAGCGAAATCCCACCCTTTGATATCATTTCATGAGAAACATTTGGAACAATATTGAAAAATCTGTTAAACAGAGCAGGGGTTATAAAACTTTTATAGGATTTATTACTATCAGGAAGCGGTCTGCCACAATAAACATCAATATCAAGAGCTGTGGATACTTCTGATAATAAAGCAAATTAACAACTTTGCAAACATGAAACAGCCTTTGATCTTCACATTGTGAATATTTACCAGAACAATAACTAGCTTTTTCATGACTAACATCCTGTTTGGAGACAATAAACCTATCCCACACAATGAATGTCTGTCAGGGATTATTCCCCTGAGTAGACAACTGAGGGCACCTTCTATATCTTGACTAGTTCTTGGCATAAGTTGTAGACACGATACTAGAAAAGATGAGCAGACAGAAAAGCACTGTAATGTGATTACAAAATATGAAGCGTAAGAAAGCACAATGGGCAGTGGCCCAATCCTTGAATTTGCACAGAGCATCAAAAACAGGGAATCTGTTTTAACCCCAGCGAGGGGAATTCCTATAATGGACATCCCCATTCTTGGGTACAAATTTCAGGTAAAATTATTATTTCCTATATTATATTGCGCTTAAAGCTACATCAAGAACAGGAGATAACAAACTTGGTCAATAACAATGTGAAATTTGTGATGAAACAGCACTAGACATCAAACAATAGTTATCATTGTAAATAATACTTTGTGTCCTTGAGTACCCGAGAAGCTGAGGTTTAATATTTGGCATATTCCTAGATGATCGGAACTTCAAGTTGAAGAGGATAGTAACGAGTGCCCAACAATCCCTCAGAATAATAATTGTGACAAAAAGTGACAAAACAAATTATCTCAATGCTAGATACGAAAAGCACTGCTGAGTGTAGTGGTTGGAGTCTCAAGCAGCAATAAATAGCTCCAGATCCTGAATGCAATGTCTCTTAAGCATTGCTTTGTGTCATGATTGGTGTCATGACTGAAATAACAACAGTCCCTTATATAGTCGCAAGCATACTCTCTGTTCTTTAGAAGCATCCTTAGATCACATCAAGGATGAAACAGTTGGCACGTAGTTCAATAGTAGAAGCCAGAGAGAAGAAGTTTTTCCACTTGAAAATTGACGACTGCATATGAATGAATTGGATCCTGCAGCATCATATCACTTCCCAAGGCTCCTTTATCTCCTAGCTGGGGTGGTTATAACATATCAATGCAATGGCAAGTCAACTGTTCACCTGAACAAAACTTGGAAACAAAGAGAATTGCATCAGACTGATGTGTCAAATGTGGGAATATCCTCCACTTGTCTACCATCAAACTTTTTGAAAGCTTTATCATGTTCACTAAGGTCTTCAACGTTGTAACCTTAACTTTTGATCACAAGTGAGATGCTGTTTGAAATCTTTATACAAAGAACATGCTTGGTTGTACATCAAAATTTGTGAAGTGTAGACACCATCTACTCTAGCTACTGAAATATTGCTTGACAAAAGGTAAATGTCAAACCCAAAACAGGTTATGTCTCTCTTATATAAAAAATAATGGTTGTTCTTTGAGCTGAATGTTATCCACAGAGGATGCCTCCTGATGCTGCAAAGCCAATACAACTTTAGGAGGCACCAAGGGTATAGAAGATGCTAATTCTAAAGGGAGCATATCCCCCCATCCTTAAAATGTTATCACCAATTGAGGCTGTGCTTGGTAAGGCGTGACTGGAAGTGTTGATCTGGTAGTGGACACAGATGCGAAACCCCTAAAGGAGAATAAGATGTTAAATCAGGTGAACAACCATAAGCCATCTGCTGCATCCATAGATGCTGTCCCTGATTATCTCTAGTTACACACAGCAATTCAGTGGCATTGTAAACATGATGAGTGTAGAATTTGCATGTCATCCTTGTGCAAAGGCCATGTTAATCTGCACCTCCCTCTTACCAACACATTTAGTCTGCTGAAAGAGCTGGGTGAGAAAGGTGAGGTGAGGTGAAATTGGGTTTAACGTCGCGCCCAAGATTATTGCACTTATATAGCGACGTGCATGTACGTGTGTGTGTTTGTGTGGCTGCTTGTACTAGTCCGGACTGATGCCGATTTATAGTGCTTGCCCACTGAGATACCATGCCGCAGTTTAACATGAATACCCCACTCAGACACAGTATACTGACTCTGAGTCGACCAGTCCTTGTTTTAGACCCTTAATGCCGAGCGCCAGACAGGGTAACAACAAGTACCATCTTTTAACGTCTTTTGGTATGACGCGGCCGGGGATCGAACCCTGAACCTTCCGCTCTCCGGGCGGACTCTCTACCACTAGACCACGGAGGCGATCTGGGTGAGAAAGATAAATGTGTGTTATAGGATGAAAGACAGAAGGAAATTACATCAAGTTGTATCATAAAACAAGCATTGGGTTTTTAATCATATTAACCACTTTTTACGTTTGATTGTTTAACGCCGCACTCAGCAATATTCCAGCTATATGATGGTGGTCTGTAAATAATAGAGTCTGGACCAGACAATCCAGTGACTGACATCATAAGCATCAATCCACACAATAGGGATTGATGACATGCATCAACCAAGTCAGCAAGTCGGACCACCCGATCCTGTTAGTCACCTCTTACGACCTTTTAAGGCAAGTATGGGTTGCTGAAGACCGATTCTAACCCGGATCTTCACGGGTTCAGTTTTTTAAGTAAAGGTTCACAATCCAGAATAAGGTCTTGGTGGAAGTAGTAAGACCTGAGAATGGGATTAGTCTAAAAGTAAGGGTATATTACACTGCAAGGTCTTAGTACTCTTACCAAGACCAAACTCCAGGTCGTGAACAAACTTGTAAACAAACTTCCTCTTAGAATATGTTACACTTGATAACTATACCCGTTTAAAATGGACTCGTCATACGTTTATTAGTATTCTAAAACATGCAGCAATGGCATTGCACATGCACCAACCGGTGGTCGACTCATGCCGTCACATACCATGTGCTCAGTGAATCTTTACTTCATCAACTGCCCCCGTGGGGGAAAACACTATGTCACAATAGTAAACATGCTTTATCATGATTGGGCATTGTTAGAGTATACTGTTTTCCAAAACACCTTGTGATGATGTTTATTTATATCTTATAAGGCAAAGCCAGTGGTAAAAGTACTTTCACACATGGAAATGAAAACATAAATATATACCGTTATATAAGGCTTGAATAAATAAATTTGTTCTCAGGCAGTGGCTTTTGAAAATATAGTGCGACCAGGCGCTGTTTTTTGTGGTTTTTTTTTGTTCAAACTACAGTAGTATGTAACCAAATAAGCCCTGCTGTACAATCAACATGGGAAAGGTCCTCCCTACATAAATGTATTCCTGGAGTAAAATACTGGAATACAGTATTGGACTACTGGTGTGTGCATAATACAAGCATACTATGAGCTTTTATTATATTTCACAACGAGAGGACTTTAGTATTCCATTATATTACTTTCATACAAGATTTCATTCAATTTTTTTACGGCGAAATCGTGTATGAACTGATTGGCAAATCACATCAACTCGCCTTGAAACGAACATTAGTCGTTTATAGAGATACAAAGTCTTTGGTTTTGAAATTTCTGTTCAGTTATGATATTGGCAATGACATTAAGTATTAATTAAACTAAATCACCCACAGACAGGGGAGAAAATGTATGAACAGCTGATTGCTATTTCCGACTTATTTTATGATATAAACATAATATATACACATGCAATCTTAATCTTTACGTTAGAAACATTGTCTGGCATACAATACACAAATACCATTGAATTTCTAAATCATCATGTCTAGTGATGTTTTATTGTAAATTTCA